CACACACACACACACACACACACACACACACACACACACACACACACCCGGCATCTCTCCCTGGACACACCTGAGCTGACCCGCCTAACTCAGTCTCTACTTGGTGTACAGGGTGTCAGGACTGAGGGAAGGAAGGCCAAGACGGCAGAGGGAGCCTGAAGCCTGCCCAGGGCAGACTGCTCTGCTTCAGTCCAGCTGGCCATGGAGCTGGTCTGGGTCCACTGGGAGACTGGCCACTGGGCTGGGCGTGCAAGCGGGGTAGTTCCAGCTGACCCGAGTTCATGCCCTGCCCACGCTCCCCCTGCACAGAGGTCCAGATAGGAGTATTTCCAACAACTTATGTCCTTTACTGATGCAGCAGCTGAAGTCTGGATGGCATTAACCCTTTCAGCTCCCCTAGGTTAACCACAAACTAGAGGAGAGAAGCCGTTCTCGGACGACTCTGAGGTCACACCAATGGAAAACAGTTTTTACTTTCCCTTCCCCTGCGAGGAGTAAGGTTGCTCACTCGTCTTGACCTGTCTTGGTGTGCATTTACAACCAACCATCTAACTGCGGCTGTGCTACGTGTCCTTTCCTGGCTGCTGCTCACAAACCACTACTCCATGAGCAAGAGGATGACTGGCAGCTGTCTGAGGCGGCGGGCAGCACAGGCTTGGCGGCGGGCACGGATGATGGTTACCTGGCACAGGGGCTGTATGGATCAGGCTGGAAAAGAAAGCTGATCCCACAGGAGGATCAAGCCTTTGAAGCCCAAAGCTTCTGCCTGGGGGCTGCAGCACCCAGCCGCTGTCACAGACAACCCCACTTAGAGCAAGAAGGCAGGGTCCCGACTCAGCTGTTCCTCCACCGAGATGCTGGTCAGCATCCTAGGGGACGAAGTGATGACCAGGAAGCAAATTATTACAAGACATTTATTACAAATGTCACAGACATATTCATAAAGAAAAATTAGTTTAAAAAAAAAAAACAGAACGAGAGCAAGTGAGAAAAAAGGGAAAGCCAGGGCTTCAATGTCACATCTAGAACACACGGCGGGCGATGCCATCTTTATGAATAAGTAGAATCAACTACATTCTCAAAATAGTTTTAGTGCATTGCATTTTTAGAAAAGGGACGCACCCTCACCCTCAAGAAAAGGTTCCTGCAACAATGAACAGTTTGTGTGACTCCTCAAGCATGACCGCCTGCCTGCTTCCAAACCCCGGTGAACAGTGAAGCCTGCTGTGGCACAGGTGGCGGCTGCCCTCTGCCCACCAGCAATGCGCAGTCTGCTGAGGACAGAGCTCGCCGCCTCCCGAGAGGACACCGCGACAGCCACAGGCCAGTCCGGGCCTCCAGACAGGTCTCCTTGACCTGACTAGACCTGTGACAAAATAAGCCGGACTTCAATCAGATAATTTTGGTATTAAGGTTAAGTTAAACATTAATGTTTTCTGCCAAAACCATAAGCTAAGTCACCTCTCAATGCATTGAAGACAATGAGGTAGGCAAAAAACAGAACAGAACCCACAGGAAGGCGGACTCTTCCTCCCGAGTGCAGACCATGGCTGCACTCGAGGCCCAAACAGAAATTAAACCTTTAGCTGAGGCAGTGCTAATACTGTCACACAACGAACATCTGTCCACCGAACAAGACGACACACCTTCTTTTTCTTTTCTTTCTTCTTCTTTTTTTAAGAACCATCTGCACAATTTAGGCAAAACTTGGTACACAGAAAAATTACTGAGTTCTTGGCCAGGACAACCCCTTCCAAAAAAACTTCAAAGAAACAAACCGGGACCCTTCAGTCCACCCCAGCCCACCCTAATCCCCGCCCACAAAAAGTTATCCTAGTAACTGTGTCTTTCACATTTTATAAATATTAACTTCTTAAACCTGCACCTTCTTCTCTGTCCACATGTCGTCACATTACAAAAAAAGAAACGTCAATTAAATACATTGTTAATGTTACTATATTAAATCTGTCCTCTGCTTCAGCAAGCTGCTGCTGACACTTTTCACCTCCTTGTGCCCACTGCCAACGTCTGACGGTGTGCCCATCACAGCTGTCAGACACGCACAGGCCAGAGTCGCGCAGAGACAAGGAATTCTGGAGCTGAAGGAAGGGCGCTCTTGCTGGTCGGCTGCTGGTCCCCAAACACTCCCAGCACCGGTGGTAGAGTCTAACAGCACCAGCTGCAACGCAGCCCGGATTTATTTTTGAGAAAGGAGCAGGAGAAAGTGGGAACAGACTGGCAAGAAGTGTAGGAAGGAGGGGAGAGAGGACCCAACACACTAAGAGGCCCCACGTGCAGCTGTCCTGGCTGACCCGACACAGCTGAGCTCCAGTTGCACGGAGTTCCGAGTTCTCGGTCTTGACTCTGGTGAGCCCGGCTCGCACTGCCTCTACCAGCTCAGGAGAGAAGTCCTGCCTAAGGTCATGAAATAGACCTGACTGCTGCCCCCGGACCGCACGGAGGCAAAGAACACCTGCAAGCAGAACGAGAGGACAGTTAGCAGCCATCGGCCACCTTCCAGTGCCCACCCCTCACCACCTGCCCAGAAAGCAACGGCTAAAACCTTGCTTCACCCGTCTTAGACTCTACCAGAATTACAAGGAAATCACTATCAGTATCTGCGGAGGATAAAAAGTCACGACTGTACAAAAGCCATAAGGAAATATTACCTTGTCGTTGCGTTCACATAAGAATTTTAGTCTCTGAGCCCTTTTGTGCATAAACACGCCATCCAAGTGACCGGTTTCCACAGATCGTATCTCTATGGCCTTCTCTCCCCAGCCCATTGTCTGATTCGATCGGATATATGCTTTTAAAGAGGGGAAAAGACAAAGCATTAACACGAAGAGCCTTGGCAAGACGCCTCTGATTCACATGAGCCAGTGCCCGGCCTGCGTGACTGCGGCTTCGCACAAGTTCCGCCTCGGTGCTGGGCACCTGCTCAGTCCCCGGTAGCCTGCCTCCCATGCACAAGCCCTGGATTCGTTCAATTTACAGCACTGCCTGAAAAGGGAGAGTGTGCCTTTGTGCCTTTTCTGTCCCTGAGCAGTCTCACGAATCAGTAACTAAACAAACTGCCCCGGTGTGCGGGTTACTGCACGTTTCATCAGCCCACCCTGAGAGAAGGGAGGTGAGAGTGAGGGTGAGGAGGCGTGTAGAGGAATAAACACAGAGCCACGCAGTGCCATCCACCAGCCTCGGTTCCTGGACCACAGACTACTCAGGCGGCCGTGTCTAGGCGGGCTCTGCCACTCTCTGGTGGAAACCATGCTTCTTTCTCTGATTCTGACTCATGCCGCATAGGTTGGTCAAAAAAAAAAAAAAAGCTTCCCTTTAGGTAACTTAGTCAAATGAGAGATGGCAACTGCACAGCTTTTCAAAGCACCCAAGAGTTGCTTGGACTTGTCTGCCATGGGCCGATGGGCGTGGGCAGCGTGCACAGCCGGCACAGCAGGCAGAGGGGCCCTCCTCCTCATAAAGCGTCGTACCTACAGAGGTGGGCATCTCCCCCCACTGCAGAACCACGTCCTTGGTGATCCTTCCATAGGTGTTCACATACACCCCCTCATCCTCATAGCACACCAGGAGCTCCATGCCGTCCGTGTTGGGGAGAATGATGATTGCATGGGGCTTAATGCTGCACTGGATCTGGAGAACAGAAGCGGGGAGGCACGCTGTGGTCGTCTCCCGGCCCGTGGGAGTGCTCAGGAAGACTGTCTGGCGGGCACAGTGGCGCCGTCCCCCTGGCCACAGCTACCCCGAGTCTGCAGGACTGTGGGAAGCCCACACAACCAAGTGTCTACCATTTACGGGCCATGTGCTCCACTGACTCACTTCTGAGTCTCTGGAAAGGTCACTGGCCGGAGGACTCATCTGAGAGCCATTCCCGACCCTGGTGTACTCCAGCCTGATAGCAACAGTCCCGCCTCCGTCCCATGTTAGTCAAAGCAGGAGCAGACAAGTGCTGAGTCGGGGCTTCCCAGGGCCGGGAAGCAGATTTCTGCTGTCCCCCAATACGAAGCTACTGACAAGAGTGCTTCATTTAAATACTCACGCCACGCCTGGGGAATGCGGAGGCCCTGCTGTGTTAGTTCACTATGCAGAGTAAGGGCAAGTGAAAACAAAGTGAGGCCAGTCAACCCACCATGGCGTGGGGGATCTTTCTTACGTGTGTTGGTAGATAAATGTCGTACACTGAGCCCGAATCCACATCAACAGCATGGAATCCGGCGCAGGAGCCGTAGATCACTTTCAACCTCTGGCCTTCCTCAACAGTGAGATCCACCAGTAATGGCTTATGGACCAGTTCTCCAAACGACTACAGAGACAAGCAAGACAGAGGCCTTCCTGATCAGGGAAGAGGCTAGCCGCAGGCATTTGGTTCGCTGTGTGGTCCTGTTCCTTAACCGGCATCCGGAAGGCACCTCTTCCCTCCTACCTAGCTGGAGAATGGTCTGTCCAGTCCTGCTGTGTCTTGCTTAGGACACATGTAAACAGTAAGAACTAGGCATGGCCCAGAATCAGAGTACTCAAACACAGCGGTGGGCGAGACTGTGGGAGCGGTGACCTTGGCTGTGTGAGGAGACTAACCCTGCACAGACTTGGGGTGGGGGCGGGGCTCGATTCTTCACACCAGCACAGTCCAGGCACTAGAGCTGTGACCTGGAATAGTGAAGGAAGGGAACAGCGGTGGCTGGCATGTAGGACTATTAAGACCAGATTGTAGAAGACAATGTAAGTGACTTGATAATTTACTACCTTTATCCAGTTATACTAGGATTTGCCAAAAACAGTCACCCCACCGACTGAGTCAACGGTGCCAAGCAGGAAGTACCCCTTAATTCAATTTTCCCAAATAACTGAACTGTACTCTTTCAATGAGATGTATCAAAATTGTTTTAAACACAATCATTTTAGATGAAAGTTCGTTCCTTACCCTCTGCTAAAATGTGCCTGGACTATTCTGAAGGTTCTTTATCTCAAAAGAGAAGCAACTGTTACCTCTATCTAACAGCAGAACAGGATGATTTTAATTAGGAATCTTATCCTTTGGATTTAGGGCAATCTCTGAAATTGGCACAGGGAAACCCAGAAGAATGTGAGTTCTCTGCAGTGTGAGCTATGGGAGTTTACACACCCTGGTGCTCGATAGACGGGTTTCCTGCGCCACCTGGGGTCAGGCACAGTGTGGATACAAGACCAATCACGAGTACTTGTGAACTCACAAACAAAATGGTCCCAAGTTTAGCACAAACATTACTACTTCACCCAAACCATCTCACTGTAAATATCAGGACATGTTAAACTGAGTTTTAAAATTTTAAATAAACACAGAACCATACGACACACACTTTTTAAACTTTCTTCTCTCGTTCAGTGTGTAATGCATATCGCTTGTACTAGCAAAACTCCCTGTAATTTTTTTAACTGTTTTTCTTCTGAGATGCAGTCTTGCTAGCAGTCCCTGGCTGGCCTTCAGCCCACAGCAATGCCCCTGCCTCGGCCTCTCTGGCACGCACTCACACCCAGCTCATCACTTGGTCTTTAAGTTGTACACACTTAACCCGTCTCTTGTTGAGCCTTCAGAGTTTCACATCTGTGTCTGTTGGGTACTGCCCATGTCCTAAGAGAGGGCACAAGTGCCACCTGGGAACTTGGAGAAGAGCTGCTATTAGGAACAGCTTCTTCTTCGACAGCTTTGGCAATGTGCCATGCTACCGTGTATTAACTGGTCAGACTTTTTAAGCCACTTAGAACTGACGGTTTTACCTTAAAAGCCATGAATTTGTGGTATGGCTTCGGTGCCCACGCATAGACTTCCACAGAACTCTTTAAAGCAATCACCAGAAACTTGATTCTTTCATATTTTACTGAAAGAAACATAGACGCGAGAGAAATGCTTTCAGTATCAACACAGAGCCATAAATTCTTCTAGCTGCTATTTGCAAACTTCATAAATAGGCCTTGTATTGTTCATCCAAATAAGACAAGGGGTTGGGGTGGGAAACAGGGTTTAGACCACACTCTCTGCTCTTCTCTTTCTTCGGTGTCGGATTCACTTCCCTAGATCAAGTCTAAGCTAACACCAAATAGCTTAGCTGATAACCACAAATCAAGGGCAACGCCAGGCGGGCAACCAAAGGCTCGGAGGGTTCGCCAGTACTTCAAAATAAAAACACGACGAGCCAGCCAAGGAGCTTACACGGATGGGGAGGACGAAAGAAGCAAAGTGGTAAATCGTGTCTAAAGCACAGAACATCGTGTTGTTTCACAGCTACTCCTGTTCCCTAGTGTGCGGGACTGGTCTGGTGCCATACCACCTACTCTGCAGGACCTTCCAAGCATCACTCTGCTGCTGATTGGTGCACAGCCTTGTCATTCGACACAGCTCTGTTAAACTTCACACTCTGTCAAATGTTCAAAATCCACAGAGAGAATTACAAGTGGATACCCAATGGACTGTTCACGGGCTTTTCTGAAATGATGGAAATCATTCTACGCGCACTGCTAATCCCTTTAGATAAAGCCACAGCTGTTGACACTAAGGAGGTCCTGGGACCACGTAGGAACTGAATTAATGGCTGTTAACCTCAACTAACTATATTTTAACCTCCTGGTCTTGGTGGAGACTCAGAATCATTCAAAATAGTGAGACCACTCCTGGAACAATTATTAGCCAACGAGCTGGCGCTACAGACAAAGACGACAATGTCACAGATTACAATGTGCTGGGGGAGGTGCCCAGTAAAATATGCAAACAGAAATCAGCTTTCAGAGCACCCCCTAACCAGCCCAGGCCACAAAATTCCACTATCAGTAAACCTGTAACTATGCTACGGCCTGTTCCTTCCCATTGTTTCTAACCATCAGTTTCTTTTTATTAGGCAACAGCACTCAGCTTAGGTCTTGTTAGATGACTGTGAGAATCACTGAATGCTCCACGGGAGGGAAAAGGCAATCACTAAATAGTTGCCAAGAAACAGCAACTCCTAGCGTCATTCTCCACAAGTAAGGGCATGGCAGCTCTGCGCCACAGCCAGCCTCAGTCTCCACAAGTAAGGGCACAATGTTAAGCACAATGTGCTTAATTAAACCTACCAAGCCACAACAGCAGTTCCGTTCTCGGTGTTCTACTGGTGATGGCCAAGGCCTCCCAGCATACTCTAAGGTACAGAGGGAACCTCTAAGGTGAGAGGGCTTAGTGGTTCAGAATCACATCTCACAGAGGAGAGTATCAACGAGGTGGAATGACTCACAGACAAAAAGCACAGGCAGGCTGGGCAGAAGGAGCAAACCGCGTTGTACTTACAGGTGAACCACACGGCCAGGCACCCACGCAGGACCTACAGACACTCTGGGGAGACTCCGCAAGAACTCACCAACTTTATAGTGCACACATCCTTCCAGGTCGCCCACCGTGGTCCACCCTTGCTTCTTCTCCACCTCGGGGTCATTATGAAGGATTTTGTTTCTTAACCAGGATAAATAGTATACACGCAACTTATCCTTTTTGCCTAATGAGACAAATATAAGTATTTTTACACCATGGTCAAAATCAATCTTATCATTAATAACAACAAGAGCCCCCCGCCCAAAAAAACAAACTAAACGAAACAGTAGCTATGTCTCCCCTAAGAGAGACAGTCTGTCTGCGAAAGGCATGGAAAGGTCTTGAGGCATTATAGTGATGATCTGGATAGCAAGCCCATTACACAAAAGTCAGTTACTTTCCTATACACCTACAACAAAAAAAATTAGAAACTGAAATAAAGATACTAGTCACATTAACACTAAAAAAATAGACATGAATCTCACAAAACAGCTCTTTTAAAATATCTATTGCGGACCATTAGAATATTCTTGTCAAAGATGTTAAAGAACTAAAATGTACAAGTGTTGTGTTCAAGGACAGAAAGCCACACTGTCAGTTCTCCCTAACCTGAACTACAGATTCAACGTGGTTCTCGATAAACAAACTCTAAAGCTTATGTTCAGTGGCCAAACAGTAACACAGTGAACAAAATACTGAAATGAGAACCAAAAGCTTTTTGGACAGTTCTTGGCTTCCAGATTTACTACGCATTCAATTCAGCAACCAAGAGCACGTGGTTATTAGCAAAAGAATGAACAAATCAATTATTGGAGTAAAAGGGACCAGAGAGAGGTGTACAGAGATACAGAAGAAAGAAGCCTCTTCTGAAATACACAGAGAGTTGCGAGTCAAAGTGAAATATCTGCAAACCTTAAATCTTTCACAAAAAGAAGTTAAAAATGATTCAGACTTGGATGGATCTGGGATTTAGCAGTGAATTTTTGGGTAAAACACCAACAGCACCAGTCACAAAAATGAAAATGAGACAAAACAAAACAGACACACAAAGTGCCTGATTTCACTAAACTTGAAAGTATCTGTTCTCTAGCACATTGGTAAAGAGCATAAACAGAGAAGCCACAGGCACGGGAAAAAGTATTTCCAGAGTACCTGCAATAAAAGATTGCTATCTAAAATATACAGAGAATTCTTAAAATCTAACAACAGGAGAAAAAGAGCCAATTGCAATATGAGCTAAAGACCTCAGCAGACACAAAGGGAGAGAGACAGAAGGAACATAACCACAAGAACACACACAATGTTGAAGCAACCAAGGCAGACGGAAAATCCCAAGCCTCAGGCATCAGGATGTGCTACAGGAACCCCCCTTGCCTGCCCATCTGCTCTGAGACCAGGGAGGCCTTGCAGGATATCTCAGTGGCCTCCACGCTTGGCCACTTTTGCCCTGTGTTTCTAGTAGCTGAGTTTTTTCCAAACACACAAAATCAAAGCTTTCATTCAAGCAAAAAGCTGCACATAAATGCTTCTGTAGCAGCCGTGCTTACACCTGCCTTCCTGGAAACACCAAGACGTCTCTCAAGTGTATGAATAGATAAACCGTGACTCATCTGTATGGTGGAGTATTAGTTGCATCTCATTTGGGCAGTAGTTCAAGGATGAGCTGCGTTCGTTATGGAAGGCTGGGCCCTCTGACCAGCCATACATGCTGCTTTAGAAAATACTTACCAGATATTGTCACCAGGACATTTAGGCCCTCAAGCACATCCATTTGCTGGAAGCGTCTCCGGCTGATCAGCGGGTATACTTTCCCTTGGCCGCTTCTGTCCAGGAGCATCAACCCGCTCTCTGTACCAACCAGCAGATTCACGCCTGTTTCAAGAACACAAACCTACATGTTAGGTTGTGCTTGCACAGCTGAACCATGGGGGAAAACTGCTCAATCTGAAAGATGACAGCCTTCCTAACTGAGAAAGAAATGCTCGAACAGTTAGGCTAAAGCAGTTGATCCTTGCACACAGGAGTGACAGTGGCATTCCTTAGATATGAAAATGGACGCAAGGGAAGAACGAGGAAGCCTCACCACCTTACCTGTCTCCAGGGAACTGAGCTCCGCCTGTCAGCTCACTATTTCTTGGGTTTTACTGAGCTAGTCACGTTAGATACTTGATACCATCACAGACTGATTCAGGAGGTTCTGATACTGGCAAGCCTCTGGAATGGCTTGGAGGAGGCCCACCTCTGTGATCCCACTGGCTTCTGAGCTGCCCTCCGTCACAGTCTCTACCCGACAAGCAGCTGCACTGCTTCCTTCCTCCCTCTCCACTCCCTCTGACTGGTAAGGCAGTGTGCTGGCCACCGTCGGCGCTGCCTGGCTGACCACGCACAGGCCCACCTGTGCCAGGGCAGCCGCTCTCGCTGCCGTGCCACGCCGTGCCTTCCTGATCTCCCACACAATACAGATTTCTACTGAAACCAGACTTCGAACCTGACCAAGCTGACCAGCCTGGCAACCACGCCCCTGGAACAGCCTTCTCCTGCCGCTTCCTTCCCTCCTCCTGCTCTCACAAACCACGCTTTCTGACCATTTCACTGCTGACAGACACAGGCCTTCATTCAGACTGTCCACGCAGTCTCTCACAAGTGCACACCAAAGCGATCCTTGTTTTCTTAAAACACTCACCGAGTCACGCTGCATCTTTAAAATTTACAGATCCCAAGATGCACTGTCAGGAGCTCTGGTTTGGCATCCAGGACCCACACACTTCTCAAGCCAGCCGGCTTCTCCCACTAAAAAGCTCGGCCAATATGCAATAATCCTTATTTCTAGACTCTCCTCTTAACTCACGTATTTATCCAAATGTTTGCTTCCTTGTCTAGAACCTTCACCTTCAAAAGCATCTTCACACACACAGCACGGACTTGTGCTCCCAGGAATCAAATCACATTCACTCAGGACCGTCCTCCAAGCTCGGAATAAACGCTCTAGACAAGCAGTGAGGTTTGGTGCCCAGACAGAGTACCTGCGGGGTCACCGCCCTCATGAGGATGACGTGTCAGGACAGTGTGCTACAGATAAGACAGCCCGGGAAACTTGCAGGCTCTCTAGAGTTTGGGCACTTCCCCTGTAGCAAGTCACTGTCAGATCTATGTAGCTATCTAAAAAGAGTTGTGCTGTGAGTTTACGAAGCAGAGCCACACGCTCTAAATCAAGGCCGTGAGTTTACCCTATTCATACATTAATGGGATGAGCCGTAGGAACAGTGTCCGTGTACACAGATGAACGTAAGACGGCTCGTTCTTCAGTTTCACATGCCACGTTTCACTCGCTCGGCAGCCACACACACACTGGCTCACAGCTGGGGCAGCCACACACACACTGGCTC